ACAAGTACTACTTGTACTTTACGTACGTACGTAACATAAAGTATGGTCCGTAAGAGTCGTACCGTACGTATTTGCTTCCTGGACGCCGCGCTCTGGAGATTAGAAATTTATTTTGATTGGTTTCTTTATTTTCCTATTCCCCACAATTGACCCCCTCTATCCATCGTGATAAAAAACTAGGGGTAAAAAAAACGGAGCAGAGGGCATTTTACGAGCCTGTACGGCTACGACTACCAGCAATTACGCACAGGAAAGACGAGGAGGAGCAGTCAAAACGAGAGGTTGGGGGTTGGAATCAATCACCATCAACTTCATTGTCAATGATTGTAAAAAAGCTCTCACATTCAACACGGGATCAACGAGGGATCAACGATACACAGCCAACGAACGAAAGGGCTGAATAATAATAGCATTTGTATTCACAAACTGCATATTTAGGGCACACGCAACCGTGCTGTGCAACGCWTTCCGGACCCGAGGAGCAATAGCGCATCGCTAGGAACGGCAATGTCGGAACTTACTTGCCCTAATTGCGGATCCAAGAATATCGAATCGCAGGGTGCTGCCGGGAATTGCGTCTGTACAGAATGTGGTGTAATCGTTGAAGAAAATGCCATTGTCAGCCACATGGAATTCGTTGAGGGAGCGGGTGGCTCGAGCTCCATGTAAGTATAATATCTGGGATCCATCGGGGTTCTCTGGCTGGCCGTAATGCGGTTCCATGTTTGCATCCTTGTGTGGGTCGATTGAAATTCTAACGCTGCAGCACTTTCTCGTATCGATCCATTCCATCATTCACACTCCTAAAAGGGTCGGTCAATTCGTGAGTGCGACTTCTAGAAAGGCCTATACCGGAGGAGGTCGCGGAGCGGGAAACTATGGGTTTTCCCGTGATAGCAGAGAGACCACTCTCGCAAACGGACGTCGGCGCATCCAAGAAGTGGCCTCGCGGCTCCGCCTAGGAGGCCACTACGTCGATGCYGCCCATCGCTTGTTCACGATCGCTGTGGAAAAGAACTTTGTGCAGGGTCGGCGCACCATACACGTGGTTGCCGCTTGCTTGTACATTTCCTGCAGGCAGGAAAAATCACAGCACATGCTGATCGACTTCAGCGACGCCCTCCAGGTCAACGTCTACACGCTTGGAACATGCTTTTTGAAATTTCGGAGGTTGCTGGGTTTGAAACTGGCGATTCTGGATCCCGCTTTGTGTAAGTGAACTTGGTTTGTCTGCGCTTGGATCTGTTTTGTGACGCATATGCAGCAGCAGGCGATTAATCCAAGCGTGATGGCATCGATGCTGAAACTGCGGTCCCACTGCGTGATCCGCGCATTCTCATTTCGCGCTTTTGGTATTTTTTAGACATCTATCGGTTCGCAGCTCACTTGGACCTAGACGACAAGGCCAACGAAGTTGCCTTGACAGCGCTTCGCTTAGTGGGCAGAATGAAACGAGATTGGATCGTGGCGGGACGTCGGCCCGCCGGAATCTGTGCCGCCGCCTTGCTGATCGCCTCCCGGGCCCATGGCTTTAGCCGCCACTCRCAGGATGTCACACGCATACTCAGGGTCTGTGGCATGACGGTGTCGACCCGCATGAAAGAATTCGAACAGACCCCATCCGCTTCGTTGACATTAGAACAGTTCAATAAAGTAGAACTGGAGAACGAGGCAGACCCCCCCGCCTTTACAAAAAATAGAATAATGGAAGCGAGGGCACGAGCCATTCAAGACAATAACATCGAACTCTTAACAAGCGGGGCCCTAGACGATCCAATGAAATCAAAGAGACATAGCAGCAAATGGCGAGAAACCGCATCGTCGGAAAAGACCGAGGCCTTTGAGAAACTGTACAAATCACTCGAAAAAGAGATGAAAAACAAGAAAAATGAGAAATCCGAAGACGATGACGGAAATGAATTTGAAGAAGGTGACGAAGACGACAATGAAAATGATGACCGAAAGCCGAAGGGCAAAGATATGCAGGATTGCGGTCAAGGAAAGGAAGACGGGAAATCAGAGCAACCAGGCGAGGAYGACGAGCTGAAATCGTCGACAAAAAGCTCCGAAACGGAGAAGAAAAATCCGGATGACAGTACGGCAAAGAATGAAGAGAATCAGATTGTACCGAGCACCAACATCGTCCAATCAAAATGGGAAAAGGCGTATCCAAAAAATAGCTATGGCAAGAAAATCATATTGCCAGATCACGCCACACCAGAAGAGCGATTGCCACCGACGCAACCAGTAGAAGGGACACTCGACATCAGTGTTTGGAGAAAAGATATGCCTCAAATAATGATTGATGAYATCGAATCAATGTTTCGAACTCCAACTGAAGTTGCGCAAAAAGAAGCTATATTCAACAAGATCAACMAAGACTATATAATCTTGGAAGCTCAGAAAGAGAAGAACCGTGCCGAAGCTGAGCAGGCAATCGATAATGCGGACAAAGACTTGATCGAACAAGCTCAGGGTATGGAGCGATATCGCAAGCGAAAAGGACGATCGAAAGATGGGACAACCGAGGAGGCATTGCTCGAAGTAGTCGCAAATCGAAAAATCAGCCGAAAAATCAATTATGATGCTATGTCTTCCATCTTTGATGATGGAAGTTTTTCTGGGGGAACAGCTTTGGAAGATCCATTTGCATCAAAAGAAAATCCGGGGGCCGATTACGTTTAGACAGAAACTAASTASAAGTACAGTACTTGTTTCATTTTAGGTTCGTAGATGTTWCACTCTAAAGRTRATAATATCCAATCKATATCAGGGTTGATACTTACTTGTTACTTGGATATTCATAAAAAACTATGACGAGAAACTACAGTTCATTCAGGGTTCCAGGAAACGTTTCGCCACTACTTGGTTGTGGTCTCAAATCGATGGGAATATTTTCTCCGTTTGCCCTYAAGGCGTCGAGAGCTAGTGCGGCAGCAGCCGAAACCGGGGGATTTCGAGCTTGCACCAAGTGCCTTGTCTCTGAGGGCTCAGTGGACATGACGGCCTCAAGGGTTTTTCGTGGTCTGCTTCCCAATCGTTCCTTCCGTTCCACRCTTAGAATTTCATTCATTTTTCGATAGGCCAGCCTCCTATAGGCATAGGCTTCTCCTTTTTCCCARAGGAATAGTGGATTTGGTTTGGTSGCTGCACCTTCTACCTGCTCWAGCCAGTCGGCGAGTGACAACTCTATAAAGTCAAGCCATTCTTCTTTATTCAGAGTAATGTCGAAGCGTCCCAGTTCGGGCCTAGCTCGAAAGCTATAAATAGATGCATTCGACATAGAATCTTCTTCTTTCCAGGCAAACACTGTTTCGTCAACAGTCGACCGATCCACCATGCAAAATACGTAGGMTAACTTTTCTGCCTTTTCTCCTATCAACTCTTTTATAGCCGATCGTTCACTGAGTGGGAGAGAGAACCCCTGGAATCCTTCGGTACCGTATATGCTATGGAAAAGTCCAGCGTTGGTTAAATGCACCGGCGAACCCCAATATCTCAAAACGGCCTGGACTCCCTTCAAATGCTCATCAAAGGCAGCGCTTCCTGTGTGCTCAAGAACTTCAGGGACTTTTTCGTTGACGTATTTCCAGAGCGTGTCGTCGGCAGCCTTCCATTCCTTAACGAGATATTCGTCTGTGTCGTTGTTCGGTGCCTTAAATTTGGAACATTCATCTGACCCTTCGTTCGCAATGATGAGATCTGCCATGAGCAGCARCAGCGTTGCGAGAAAGAAAATTAGGAGTGACAGAGATGATCGGTCAGTGTGATAAAATATCATGGTGGTTGTGGTCGTCTAAGTATTTTTCTTGTGAGAAGGACCATGCATCACTGTTGCTGTTTTGATGGGTGCGAGGTCGAGGAATTCGGGATAATATCGACTAGTCGAGCCTTCAAGAAAAGTCGTGCTTAGGAGGACTTGCGACAAAAAAACAAAAAAAGAGCGGAGCATTTTGTCGCGAAAAAGATCCGCACTCCCAACTACCACGCGCTCCTTACGTATTGCTGAAAGAAAAAACTCGTAATCGTAGTTGTTGTTCCAAACGTACCGGTATTTGCATATTGGTTGCGGCCGCCGCCTTTGTTTTTTTTTTTGAAGGATGGCGGCGGCCAAAAAAACTTACTGTACTACTGTGCAAAAACTAGGTTATTGCTAGTAGAATGACTTGTCACAATAATGACCAATATCTGTGAGCCAGTAATAAAATACACGTACTCGTACCGGTATCAAGTAAATCACGAGTAGATGGTGAGTGAGCAAGTGGCTTACTGTCTGGGTATGAACGTACTCATATTGGTATGAACATATCTGTCTGGGTATGAACGTACTCATGTGGGTATGAACATAYCTGTCTGGGTATGAACGTACTCATGTGGGTATGAACATATCTGTCTGGGTATGAACGTACTCATGTGGGTATGATCATACCTGTCTAGGTATGAACAAACTCATGTGGGTATGAACATACCTGTCTAGGTATGAACGTACTAATATGGGTATGAACATACCTGTCTAGGTATGAACGTACTCATATGGGTATGAACATACCTGTCTAGGTATGAACGTACTCATATGGGTATGAACATACCTCGGTAAGTCCAGGGCTGTAAGAATTCTTCAAAGTTAGTGGCTACGCGCACTAAAGATAGAGATAGTGAAGTGCAGTGCACCGTACCGTAGCCAATTCAATGTTCATGAAGAGATCTAACATACTAATAATACATATAAAAAATATGATTACAACATACCCTTACTTCCACGTGGCATCACTTACGGCCAACGAAAAAATCCGCGACTTTTTCAGCAGTTAAAACATCGCGCAAATAAAAAGAAAACGAGCAAGAACAGAACAACAACACCGTGAACTTTCCGGATTGCAGAAACCAATCTCTTCCTTCAACAGTGTCTCTCTCTCTGGTGGACCCTTCCTCGTATGCYACAAGCAGTTGGATTTCAAAATTCTTACCATTGCAATTGGAATAAAAGTCCAGATGTCCCAATTTGAAGACGCAAAAGACGTCGAAAGACCCAMCGCTGATGAACTCGAAGGATACGTTCTCTACGACGAAGACGACGAAGATGACGACGACGATTATTACTACGACGAAGACGACAATCCAATTGGTGGTGGCGGCGGCGGCGGTGGAGGAGGAGGTGGAGCTTCCAAAATGAAAAATATCAATATTTCGGGTGCGAATACAAAAATGAATTTCTCTCATTCCGTCTCAAACACCGTGAGCAAGATGCAATCCATCGAGGTAAAAAAACGAACTCTCCACACATCTCGTGATGACCGGGCAACTTCCGAACAGTGTCTTGATCCGAGGACGCGGTTGATGCTGTTCAAGATGCTGAGCAATGGGATTCTTGATAAAATAGATGGATGTCTCAGTACCGGAAAAGAAGCCAATGTATACTACGCCAAGGCAGGGAAAAAGGCAGCCCAATTCAAATTAGCAAAAGGAAAGAAAAACGACAACGATGAACCAATTCTGAATATGAATACAGCTATTGGCGACGTGAAGGAATTCGCCATCAAGATTTACAAGACCAGTATTTTGGTCTTCAAAGACCGCGACAAGTATGTGTCGGGAGAACATCGATGGCGCAAGGGATATTGCAAAAGCAATCCGCGAAAGATGGTGAAAGTCTGGGCCGAAAAGGAGCTGCGCAACTACCGGCGCATTCACGCCGCAGGAATTCCCTGTCCCACCCCAATCTTTCTGAAAGCCCACATTCTATTGATGGAGTTTTTGGGCGAAAATGGATGGCCGAGTCCRCGCTTGAAGGATGCCCAGCTGAGCGAAAAACACATGCGGGAAGCATACGTCCAGACAATACTGATCATGCGACACATGTACCAGAGATGCAAGCTAGTTCACGGAGATTTGAGCGAATATAACCTTTTGTGGCACAAGAAACAAATATACGTCATCGACGTCAGTCAGTCGGTCGAAACAGATCATCCAGCCGCGTTGGACTTTTTGAGAAAAGATGCTTCCAATGTGAATGATTATTTTGCGAAGGTTGGCAACCTCAACGTGATGACAACCCGGCAGCTCTTTGAGTTCATTACRACTGTGATCCCAACAGAAAAAAACACTCACGAAAGGAGCGAAGATGCCGAAGCAGCTGCAGAAATGAATTATCTGGAAGACGTAATGAAAGAAGTCGAGGCTTCCTTCAAGGAGATGTCAACAAAATCCATCCAAGAAAGGCGAAAAAACGACCAACAAAACCTTGTCGACGAGGCTGTCTTCATGAGCAGTTTTTTGCCTCGAAGCTTGAATCAGGTTGCAGATTACGACATTAAGCAGATAGARAAGGGAAATGTCGAGGAGACGTATGCACACGCGGTTGCGGCGTTGACCGGGAACCAAGATGTGGTAGAAAACTACAAGAATTACAAGGCGGGAGAAGGTCTTTCCTCGCAAGCCAAAGAAGTTGGCGGTGACGCCAACAATTCCGACGCAACCGACGAAGAGAACCCTGCCGGTGACAGCGACAGCGACGACGAACCACGCTTCGTGAAAGTTCCTAGAACTAAAGAACAGCTCGATGCAGAAAAGGCCGCCCTGAGGGCTTCTCGAAAAGCAAACAAGAAAGCAGTCAAAGAAGACAAAGCCGAGAAACGTCTGACAAAGATAAAGAAGAAGGATAAAAAGAGAGCTATMAAAAAAGCCAAGGCCGGCAATCGCGCAAGGTAGATATTGTCTGAGCTCGAACGAATCAAGCGAGCGACAGAATGATTATTTTAGCACACGGGGCTTTTCCAAAAAAAAAAATAGCACACTTCGTTCCTTTTTGTATTCGGCTAGAACAAACTTGTGTTATCGCTTTCGTTTTGTGTACGGAACGCCCAATCCGAGCGCGGCACGCCCCGACGCAGCTAGCTGGTTCCACGACACGAGCAATTGTTCCTGGAGCTCGGTTTCCATGCGGAGGGATTCCTCGTCGGAGGCYGTCCAGGTTCTCTGGTAGAGCCGCTTTGCCGCAGCAACGGCATCGGGGGATCTCTCCACGAGCTCCTCCGCAAAGAGTTCTGCCTCCCTCATCGGATCCTCGCACACGCGGGTGACCAGCCCCAGATCGGCGGCTTCCGACCCACCGACGATCCTGGCCGTCATCGTCAGCTCCTTGGCAACATCGATTCGCACGAGCTCCGGGAGCAAAATGCTCGCTCCCATGTCGGGAATCAAGCCCCACTTCCCCTCCATGACGGAGAGCCGRCAGTCCGGGGTGCTGTACCGAAAGTCCGCGCCGAGCGCCACCTGCAGYCCGGCCCCGTAGCACATGCCCTGCAAGACCGCGACGACCGGTGCRTCCAGCTCACGCCACAGAATGGAAACGTCCTGGGCCAGGTTGCTCGTGATTTGTTTGACGTCTTGGTCCTCGTTCCACGGCACCGAGCACGGCCGGGAGCGTCGTTCGATGAGGTGTTTGATTTTCTTCCGCGGGTCCCCGTCCTTCAGAACCGATTTTACGTCCAGTCCCGTGCTGAAGGCACGTCCTTGTCCGCTCAGAATGACGACCCGTATGGAACGGTCGGTTTTGAGCCTGGTGGCTGTTTCGGCAACCGCTTCGAACATGGGAATGTCGAAGGCATTGAGTTTATCGGGGCGGGCCAGCTGAACACGGCAAATTCCGGTAGAGGGATCGATCTCGGTGGCGACTCGTTCGCTKCCGTTGCCACCGCTTGCTCCCGAAAACCGCCGTTGGAAACCAGGCCTCCGGGAAATGCGTTGTTCCCGGCCGACAACCAAGGAAGAATACCGTCTTCCACTGCGACCGATTCGCGAACACGAGGTCATTGAGTTTTGTTTTCGTTCTCTCGACGCAATTGTATGAGAACCCCAGCTCGGGTTAAAAGTGCGTTGTGAATTCAATSAGCACCAGGCGCGCTCTCATCGATCTTGGTGAGGGAGGAGGGAGAGAGGAATGTTTGCGAGGAAAAGAATCCAACTACGGTACAATATCCAATCATAGTTGACACTGCATATGATCGGCTCTTACCAAACTACCTTTAGAATGTACGAGTATGAGTTGTGCACGCACGTCAAAAAAAAGAAAAAAGAGAACCGAAGTTTCGAATGAAACCAAACCGTCTGTCTATCATGCGTACGTGCGGCACAGCTGTCAAAAGACGAACGTTACTGTACCGCGAAAAACACCGGACACCCGACACCACCACATTCACCGTGTGACATGTTCGGTCTAGTAGCGTGCTTCCATCTATATCAACGAGATTGCAAGCGATAGAACCGGATCGATCTTTTACTTCTCTTGCTTTGTTTTGACTCGGATTACCCTAACCCCTATTGAAACGATATGAAATGACGGAGGGGTCCGCTGGTCAGCAAGGCGATGGCGGTGGCGGTGGAGGGAGAGGCAACGGTGGCCGCGGAGGAGGAAAGGGCAACAAATCACGTGGGGGTCGGGGAGGAGGGGGCCGAGGGGGCCGCAACAARAAGAACAACGACAAGAAAGATGCCAACAAAGGAAACAACAACAACGGCAGCGGCAGCAACAAAGACGATGCCAACAAAGACAACAACAAGAACCCGAACAACAACAAAGGGAACGCCAAAAACAAGGGTGGCGATCCGAACAAAAACGGTCCCAAACCAAAGAACGACAACAACAAAAAGGGAGGCGAGGCGACCAAGAGCAACAACCGCTCTCGCCGCCGCATGATGCAACACAAGAACAGCAAAAAAGGCGAACAAAAGAAACCAAACGAGCCCGCTGTTCCAAAGATGACAAAAGAAGAGCAAGAACGAATCGAACAGGAAAAAAAGAAAAAACTCGAGGAAGAAGCCGAGCGCAAACGCCTCGAAGAAGAAGAAAGKGCGAARCAAGCCCGTCTAGAAATCCGCAAAAAGGCCGAGAAGGAGTTGAACGAAAGYTTTCAGGAGGCGATGGACTATCTAAGGGCGGTCGCGGAGACGTCCGAAGCCCGGAGGGCCAACCGAAATTCGATGTCGGCCGAAGATCTCGCTTTATCGAGAAAGGAATTCGAGGCGAGCAAGAAATCGCTCAAGTCGGATCTGAAGAAATGCACCGCCTTTGTGAAGAAGATCAAAACGGGCGGAGCCTGGTCTATGACACCCGCCGCGCTTGTAAAGGATTTGTCGTCCTTGAACCTTTCTCGCTACGTCGAAGAAGTTGTTGCTGCGGTATTGGAAGCTAAACTCAAACTGGCCGATCTTCCGGTAGTCTTGACACTGTGCAAGAGCATGAATCTTCGCTACCCRGCCTTTCTTTCGAACTTGATGACCGGTCTCTGGTCCGTTGTTCACGAAAAACCAACCGACAACGATACCAGCAAACTTCGCCGGGTGTATGTACGATTGTTGACAGAACTCTTGCTGAATGGACTTGCTACCGAGACAAAGCCRTTGATGAAACTCATTGCRGAAGCTTCTGGTGGGAAGGATGGTAGTTACAACGTGACTGATGCGAGCATGATCGTTGCTTTTGTCAAAGGCGCAGGCTTTGAAATTTTGGGTACGAGGCCAACTTCGATTCAAAAGTATTCCAAACTCATCGAAGACGAGATCCTGAAGCGCGAGCAAGACAAGGGGAAGGACGCCCCRGAAGAAGATGAATTAAGCCTTCCTGTGTTGATTTCCGAAGAGAAGGCGACCGAAGGGAAGGAATTAGTAGCAACCATGGATGAGCTCGTAATGGAGCGGGCGGTGTCTCCAGAAATCTCGARCAAGTTTCTTGGACATTGCAAGGGCGCCTACGCATTTTTGTCGAGGTCTCTGATCGAAACAGATACCAAGCTCCAAAAGATGGAAAAGCGTTGCGAGCAAGATCGGCTTCTGGCTGGTTCGCTGACCGATGCTCGYGAAAAGGGCTTACAGGACGCRCGCAAACTGAGAGAGAGCTTGGAAAAGAGTGTCGAGGCCATGTCGGACATTATGGATTTGCCCCTCCCACAACTAGAGAAAGAAGCGGAAGAGGAGACAGAGGGTGGAACCGGAGTCGAGGTGTGGACGAAGGATGGAGGTGACGAAGAYGGAACCGACTTTGGGCCTTTTGACGACGAAGAAACACGGGCATTTTATTGCGACGTACCCGACTTCCTCACGACCGTCCCCCCTGCATTGCTTGGGTTAAGTCCAGAAGAAATAGAAAAGCTGAAAGCCGTGAACGAAAAAAAGTTTGGTGCAGGCTTTGGTCCTGATAATGAATCGGAAGGAGATGCTGTCACTGATGTGGTTGCCCCKTCGTCCGAGGCCGAACTAGAAGCTGTAGAGAAAGGCGAGGATATCGAACCCGGGGACGACAACGAAGAAACAAAAGATGAGAACAAGGATGCTCCGCATTATAAGCTGATGGTCCTTCTAGAACAAGAATTACCAGAATGCAGTCGCAGAGAGCAAATCGACGAGATATCCGAAAAGTTTTGCACGAATCATGGTTCATCCAAAAATGCCAGRAAACGCCTATCAAAGACTCTTTTCCATGTTCCTCGYGCGCGTTTGGACCTTCTCCCGTATTATTCTCGTATGGCAGCCACGTTGGGCAGAGTCTGGCCAGATATTGGGGAAGCCTTGCTGGTTGATCTAGAGCAGCAATTTCACGGGCAGGCGAAGTTCAAGAAGAACCAAAACATTGAATCTCGTATGAGAACAGCACGATACATTGGAGAGCTAACAATTTTCCGCATGGCTCCACCAATCGTGTCTCTGCGTTGCTTGAGGCGGTGTTTGGATGACTTTACAGGAGGAAATGTTGATGTTGCTTGCTGTTTATTAGAATCGTGTGGTAGATATTTGAATCGGCTTCCGCACACCAATAAAAGACTGAACAATATTATGGAAACAATGGTGCGATTGAGTAAGGCCAAGGTATGTATCTAAATGAACAAACTTTTTTGTTTCGCCAATTGACGGATTTCTCAACCATTTGCAATGCTTTCAGCGCCTGGAGGAACGCTATTTAGCGTTGATCAAAACTGCAATGTATACCGTYAAGCCACCCGCAAGTGGCACAAAGAAGGAGGTCAAGGAATATCCACCMTTGGAAGGTTATCTTAGRTACCTTTTGATGGTGAAGTTGCAGGCGACAGAATCTAGCATCACCTATGCATCAAAACAACTGCTTCGGTTTCCCTGGGCAGATCCTTCTATGCAGTGCGGTGCTTTGATTTGCAAGATTATGCTCAAAACTTGTCGCAATGGACGTTATAAATCGATCGAAGCTATTGCAAATGTTGCAGCAAAGTTACGTCGCCAAAAACCTGAAGTTTGCATAAGATTACTCGATGATGTAGTCGAAGAACTCCAGTGGGCAATAGAGCATCCAGCCTTCAGAGACCAACAAAGGACTCTGACGACTGCTAGACTGCTTGGCGAACTCTATGTTGCTTCCCTCGCTTCCGGTCAATTAATTTTTCAGCAACTTTATCGATTCATCAATTTTAGTCACGACATACCTGATGCACTAAGAGAAGCAAGCGAGAAAGCTGTTGCATTGGCGGAAACTGAAGAAAGCCTCCCGGTATTCAATTCATCTTCTGGTGTGTCAGGAGTGATTCTGGAGGACGAAGAGATGGAACAGGATGATCTCGAGGCGAAGGAAGAAGAGAAAGAAGAAACAGAAGYAGAGATACAACCGGTGGCCGTTTCAGTGCACTCAAAGTATGACCCTCGGGTATTATCGGTTTTGGACCCACCAAATTCTGTTTTTCGCATCAAGTTGGTCTGTGTTCTTCTTGAAGTTGTATCGAAAAAGATGCTGGTCACGAAAAATAACATCCCGAAAATCGAAGCATTCCTTGCTTCCTTTCAACGATATTTGTTCACAAAGACTACACTTCCAACAGAGGTGGAATTCGCTTTACTAGACACGTTCGATATTATAGATTCCAAATGGCGTGAAGTGTTGAAGGACCAGAAAAAGAAGAATGCTWGCGATTCCGAAAGTTCACAAGGCTTTCGGCGGTATCGTACTTGGCTTGAGGCTCACAATGCCACTATTGCCAACGAAGAAGCCGAAGCCGCCGTGGATCGGCGCGCGCAGATACGTTTAGAAGCTCTTGCAGGAAACAGAGGAGTTGCGGCTGAAGTTGCTGAAGGCGATCTACTGGATGAAGATGATGAACTCGATGATGACGAAGAATATGACTCAGATGGAATGTCTGTTGACTCAAAAGATAGCGACGAMGATTCGATTTCAGTTGAAGAAGACAGTAACAATGAAGATCCTTCACGCTATAACGAAGATGCCACCGACGACGATGATGAATCAGAAGACGATTCTGACGATAGCGACGATGAGGATTCCGAAGAAGAATTTGATGAAGATGCATACATGAGACAATTGGAAGAAGAAGCATTTGAGGCCGAACTTCGACGCCTWACTATGGATGCTTTGGAAAAGGGGAAATCGACCTCCCGYGGTGGCAAAGTTTCGGACAACATGGTTTCCGGTTCACAATTTATCAGGAAGAAGCAGTCAGACACCGAAACGTCGCCGATGCCAAGTTTTGCACTCGGAGGTACGGAGGGAATTARYTTCAACCTGCTCAAGAAAAGCAACAAGGGGAAAATGGAGGCCAAGCAATTTGTTGTTCCCATTGACACAAATCTTGCTGCCGTTGCCACGAAACAAGACGATGAAGCTGCACGAGAGCGTGATATGATCAAAGCAAGGGTTCTGCAGTACGAAGCAGAAAGTGCAATCTCCGAAGGTAATGTTTACCTCGAGCAAGAGAAGCTCCAAGTGATCCGAAACCGACCACTTTCGATGGAAGAGATTGATAAGAATTTCGGCACAACCGGAGGCAACCTTATTACTGGCCCAAGTAAGAAAGCACCTCCTGCACCAGGAAATTATAGCGGRGGACGGGGAGGTCGAGGATATTCCACGGGACGAGGTGGAGGTTCGTTTGGATCTGGAGCGCCGTTTGGGCGTGGAACAGGCAATTCTTTTGGGCGTTTCGGAGGACGTGGACGTGGGCGTAGCAGCGGTCGTGGGCTTGTTTGACAGAACACTGTGGTTGTCGCTTATACTCCGTCCTTTTCCCGACTTTTAATTGAACTTCGGCGGGATAACATATTACGTCTACCTTCGGGATAAACCTACCCAGTWATTGAAAGATCGGATCTCAACGCCTGTTTTCATACTACACCCCACCGTGTTTACAGTATCACGAAAATATTGTTCATGAGGACCGTAACCTTTACAGAGCTCTTCGTTCTTCTGAACTTTAGGACTAGATTTTTCGATGAGCGGGTCCACTGAATTACTAACTGTCCGCTTTCAAGGACATGTTCTACGAGCGCGTGGTATTTCTCGTGCCAAAAATTCTTCTTTCCACCGAGGACCAATTTTCACMAAGTACTTTCTAAATTATTTCATCGAAAGGTCTTGGTTATTATTTATTGGTGCTCATTTGRCTTCTTCCGGCCTTAACTAAATTGCTATTGTTTGTTAATTGTATATCGTCGATCAGTCAACATTTATACTTTCACGACCGAGAAACCTTCATTCCCTCCAGAATTTGGCAAATCTTATCCAATTTCTTGCTATTTTCCTCGACTTTTTGCTCCAGAACCTCGAGTCGTCTTGCCAGCAATGGGTTGTTGAAATCTTTCGTGCTTCTTCGYAAATCGTTAGCTGATTCCATCYTTYTCGATAGCGCCATATACTCACGGAGGGACAGATTGCCATCGCCATCGGTATCTCCCGACTTAAATGCTTTGTAGGCTCTCAAATCTTCATCAGAATCGTCCTCGTCTTCGAATCCAGCAATSGTGTTWAGGTATTCTTCGTCGGTGGAATAGTCGCTGGCAATTTGGTGGTGTCGGGTTCAAGGATAAAAATTAGAAACAAAACGATAATATGCATAATAAATCGAACGCGACCGTCGTTCCTGCAGAGACGGACACGAACCAATTTCACTTACCTCGACGAAAAAGACCAATCATCGRTTATTTCATTATCGTTCTGGTTGTTTCCATTGCTTGGATTGGCGCACATTTTTTTTCGTCTGAGTTTTGCTAATCGCTCGGCTTCACCTGAACACAGATGGGTACRAGCACGTGTGYAAAAGCAGATGTCACGGTGCAAAACATGAGCGATTCTGTGTGCTGGTATGTGCTTGTGTTTTTTTACTTTCTTGGTTCCAATCCKACGRCGCTGAAACACTTACCTTCAAAACCCCAGGTCAGCATCGAGGCTGGGATTGCAAACATTCCAATGCTGAAGGCACCTGTTAGCAGCACGACCGACGACGTATACCACGGCAGTGCTCCTTCCGGTCCTCCCTGTCCAGAGCAGAAAAGTTGAATCAAGARTTAGACGAAAAGGATTGACTGCTTGCTTATTTGTATCCGAAAATGAACCTTGTCTATTTCCTATCAGATTCCGATCCGATGAAAATTCGATTTGAATCATTCTCAATCCACTGAAACTCACCTGTCCAGTCAGCATCATTGCTGCCAAAAAKAGCGTCGCTGGGAGAGACTTGAACTGTGGGTTGTCTTCATTTCTGGGACGCAGATAGTACATTAGCACCGCGGTCACCAATACCAATCCCAGGCCGATCCAGACCGCCACGTAGAGAATTTCGGAATTGTATCGAAAGACGCGGCACACGGATTTAATGGCCTCTATGAATCCTTGTGTTTTGAGWATGCGCAAGAGCCGAAAGCTTCGCAAATACGTGAGCGTAGGGAGATCGTACCCACTGCATTTTTCTAYGAAATATGGCATTGTCGCCACCAGGTCGATCATGGCCGGCGTCGAAACCATGTAGCTCAGCCTGCCTTTGATGGGYCCCATGCTTCTGTGTTTCTCCGATTCGTTGACCGTGATGAGGCGCAAGATGTACTCGGTGAGAAAAATCCAGGAGTCAATGGCTTCCCACGTGGCGAATACCTGATCGTTGATCCAGGTCAGGTCGGGATCCGTGGACAGGATGAATGCGACGAGATCCAGCACAATCACAGTGGAAATGAAAAATTTGAAGACAACCGCCTGTTGCTGTTTCGATCTCGGATTTAGCATGGTGTAAACGAATGATTTCGGTTTTCGCCGCACCACCGGARCAGTGGTAGCATTGGCAGCASGTTTAATGTTCGAAAACCTCCGCGAACYGACGATTGTTTTTAGGACCGGCCCCTGGACCATGCGCCTGCTTCGGGCGGGCACGAACATGGGCCGAGCGTCCGGCTTTCCTTCCAGGGTACCGTAGTTCATTTTCGGTTGGCGCGTTGCACGCAGCGATAGAGCGGCTCGAAATGCTCGTTAATAGGCTTCTGCACTCACTTCGCTCCGGTGGTTGTAGATGTAGATGTAGTTGTAGTTGTAACTTTGTTCTGGCTGTCGAGTGTTGTTCTTAACCATCGGCTTCGGAAAAACGGGAAAAAGTATCTCCGTATTTTGTATTTTCAACAACGCTTACAGTACAAGAGTATTCGTAGCAATACGTACATATACGTACATACCGTACGTACGTACTAGTTTTCGCATTTCGATAATTGACGGTAATATCATATCTATAATACGTATTATACATTAATATGACTTGAAACCATGGCTTCCGAGTTCCATAATTTGATGCCAAGAATCACGACTCAAAAAAGAGAGGTTTTGATTGGCCACATTTCGATTCCTTTCGGAAGGAAAATGCGAGGTGTGCACGAAGTACTGTACCATACCGTACGTAGTGTTTTCCGCACAGGTCTCACCCGAGGGTGAAACGGATCGAGTTTTTGTGCAAGAGAGGATTTTCTTATCTCACACTACGAGTATCGTACCTACCCAACCGGGTCGAGGTGCTTCATCAAACAAGAATCACCTCCTTGTTCTTCAGCTCGAGAGCTGGAGACCCTCCGCACGACAAAACGGGTGAGCTGTGTGCAAGCAGATAAAATGGCTGAGAACCAAGCCCGTGTAGTCGCCGATGCCGACCCCGGTATTGTTTACGCCACGGCAGCAGTCCTGCCGGCAACCAATKGGAGCGCACAACAKCCGGCAGAATGGGCCTGCCCAAGGTGCAGCTTGCTGAATCCTGCTAGGAAGCTATACTGCATCGCTTGCTTTCATCGGCACCAAGATCTGACTCCACCGCTTTTGGACGCCAGAGAAGTTCGMAGCGACGAGGAGGATGGCAACGGCAACGAGGACTACGACGCTGACGCCAGCGAAGACCCGCCGTTCCCGATCCCGGACGAACCGCGCGGGATCCTCGCCACGCCCCTGGAMAGCAGCWTCGCCGCGGAGGACATCCCTATGGCGCAGGGGGAGGAAGACCCCTACCACAAGAAAATCCGGCGCCGCGTCCGGCGCAAGAAACGCATGATCGCCGGGGGGGTCGCGGGCGGGGTMGCTGGTGCCGTCCTGATCGGACCCGCGATGCTGGTGGCCGGGGCGGTGGGCGGGGTCGTCGGAACCCGCATCGTGAGCAAGCAGCGGGAGCGCTCAAAGGACGAGCGCCTCGCCCGGGAGCGATACGCGATGGCCAGCGGCGCCACGGTGTCGCAGGGCTAGCCTGCCACGCATTKTGCCGAGCATTCTTCCACCGGGATGCCTCGTACCCAATGAATCGTGGAGGATTCTATTTCGAAATACCATTCATAGTATTCAATTTACAATTCCATTCATTTAAAGCAGCATTTTTTTTACAGACCGCCCTATCCTCATCGTCATACATCTTCACTCTTGTTTTGATCTAATGTAATAATATTGACCGCGTCTCCATTGTTTGCTTATACTCTACAATAAATGCTTGATTTTGTCTACCCGCGTGTCCAATTCAAAGGTGAGGAGATTTTGTAGAGTGATGTTGCGATCTTTGAAAAATGGAATACTGATACTGAATCGATCAAAATCACACTCCCCTTTGTTCGGCTCATGATCGCCGTCGCTTCCGATAGGTTTTGAGTTTGTTTTCGGCTTGCCGTTGCTGTTCGAGTGGATCGTGCCGCTGAAGCGCAGGTTTGTGACGACCATCGATAATTCCATTGTTGCGAGAATCATTATTCAACGAAGWAGTAGCGACAGTTTTCCGGTCGTTGTCGCCGTTGTTGTCGTCCGACGACGCCACGGCAACAATKTCGTTTGCAATCAGCTCGGGTATTTCCAAAACATAGACGCCTCTTGTCGGATCCCATATCGCGATGCAATCTACGAATGTCGAACTGGATATCKGAGTTGACGATGACATATGGTGCTCGTGGTCTAGAAGCTGGCGCTTGACTTTTTTGGCCGTATACCTTGCTTCTCGCCCACTGTTCTCGTCGTTGGTATATTCCGAACCTCTTTGTGCACGGGATCGTACGGTAACCTCAATACTATCACTGTTGCCACCACCACCACCACCACTTTCGACGTTCAAATGAGACTTCTCAAAATCAATTTCTGCTGGTWCAAAATTGCGACTGATCTTCGAGTTGGAGGATGAATCTTTTTTGTGTACCACGGCATACCGTGGATATTTGGCGGGCGGTTTCCTATCAGGATCATCGTCACTCAGGTTTGAGTCCTTGTTTTCTGTCACGGCCTTGTTCCTACTCTGAGCGCTCTTTCTTTGCTTTCGCCAAGCCTTTACGCTTTCGCCCATCACGATGCGCGTCATTCGACCCGAGCAAACACTCTTGYCTTGTTTGCAATCATCGGTCGAATCGCTCGAGTTTTTCGATATTCGATTCACGCTGTTGCCATCGACCTGTTTGGATTCGGAGAAACCGTGGGTTTTGTCCCCGYTGTTTCTTTTTTCGCTGGTTCTGTCTTCGCCAACATTRGATTGGCTCGGAATATCGCCGGCAATGGATGGGTTGCTCTTCTTCTCAACGGAATTGTTGTCTTTGCTGTTGGTTCTCGGAACAAGTATTGATACATCTACAACGCTGCTGATCTCACTGTTGGCGTCGCTATCAAAATTAAAGTCCTCGCTAGCGTCGAGCCGTTGGATCGGGGCACCCCCGAGATCAGACGAGACGCYTTTCGTTTCATTGCGGGTTTCGTTGTTGTCCTTTTTCGTCAAAAGCGTAGAAAAATCGACAACRCTGCTCCCATYACCGCTGCTATCACTGCTTAGATCAAWACTCATATTCKCGTGTTATCGATCGCACAGCAGCCCAATGATCCAGAYTGTMTTCRTTCAACCAACCAAGACCAACCAAWAGATCGAATGGCTTCTCAGGAGAAAAGTGGTCATCAGCGATCACTCGATGTTTCGAAGAGGCCAAAGRTTTTCACTTCTCAGCTGGAAATATGCCGCGATGCTCCGGTTTAGAGAATCGATTGCTGCTAGAGAGGTTTTAGAGTGCTACCGCACCGTGCGGTGTGATGCCATTCCACCATGTCAAGAAACAAGAAACAACCAGCAACAACCGTAACCTCACCCATCATGGGGGAAATTACATTTAAAGCCTCTCGCCAATCACCAAGTAATCACCAAGTAACCTCGCATAGCAATAGCAGTACCGTACCATAGTAAATATTGTACATACTACTAATATTTTCCATATGAAGGTCTCTGTCTTTYGACGACTCACTCGACTCGGTGTGAATGTTCCGAAGGTGCGGGCGATGACCAGACCGAAACGAGGAAAGATTCGCGAAGCATCGCAAGCCGCGCGTCATCCTACCTGTATTGTCGGTACTCGGCTGCGCATATGCACTGGTAATGTAATGGAATGAAATTTGTACCGATTTCGTCSACGATGTGCATTCAATACTCGATCCTTCTCTGATACAAATACGAGCATACAAACCATGATGTGTTGGTGAGAGTTTCTGAACTAGTCACTTCTAGGAGACCTGTTTTGAAACAGAAAAGAGATGCGGTCAGTGTGCGAAATCAATCCGATGTTCCCCCCAGTRCTGTATTTTGATTGGCAACGATGAAACCTTGCGACAGTTGCAAGCGACAAGAAATCCGGTTCACAGAATTGCGACACGCAGGACGACGTGTCAGTATCCTTTTGTCGACAAGTGAAAGCGGCACGTACAATCCRCTTGCTTGGGAGATAATCAGYCTGAATARTCTCGTTGGTCTTGTGGGATCGAAGATATGAGCTCCGCTCTGCTTTAAGAAATTGATCCATCGTCATCAAGGATATTGAAACCATGAGCAGKCAAAAATCTTCTCCCGTCAAGGGAAGTTTGAAGGACGAACTTTCCAGCACCAGCAGTGCGAACACAACGAATGATCAGAATCTAAAGATGGGATCCAAAATAATGTGCTCTGTCCTAAATGTTGTTATTGACCATACGATGGAACAAATCACAGCCATGGAAGCTGAGGAATGGAGCGTCAAGAAGAATATACCCATTAGAAATGGTGATAGCGATACCAGGGAGGAGAAGGAAGAACATGACTCGAAGAAGCAAAATGACGCATCTCTCCTTGTACCAGTTATTCGGATATTTGGGCCTCTTCTGCGTGATCCGCATAGCCAACCACTGCAATCGGCTTGCTTGTACATTCACGGCGCATTTCCATATATWTTGGCACGGCCGGTACTAGCGGGTCCCGATGGAAGTATTTATCCAAATCCATGTACGACCAYACACGTCAATTGGGACAATCGGGATGAAGTCGAGGCCATTCAGGCGGAGATTCAGGCAACACTGGAAGAAACATTGCAGTCATCCTTCTCATACGATTCGTCGAAGGAGGAAGGTGACCATTCAGACAAAGACAATAGACTAGGAATGGTTCAGTGCTCCGTAATACGGAAGGTCACGGTCGTCGAAGGAAGAGGCTTTTATACGTTTTGTCCTGGGCCGTCGACTTCATTTTTGCGCATTGGTAAGTTCCTGCTTGATTTTCTCGAATTGGAGTGTTTCTAGTTTATTTTTCAAGCCCTTCTRACGCCAATAATCCAAAACCATTCCTGCAGAATATTATGATCCGAAACTGAGATGGAAGGTCAAATTAACGATGGAACGTGGTCTGCAGTTGCCAAGGCGATATCACCCCGATTTGAGAAGATACGATCGACCCCCTAATACCATTGACGACGAAGCAAACGATTTGTTGCGATTCAACTGTTATGAAGCACACATTCCCTACACCATGCAATTTTTCAAAGATCACAATTTGGCTGGAATGACGTATATACATATTAGAAATGGAAAAATACGAGGAAATCTGCCGAAGCGATATTATCCCCGTAATAAGGAACTCCACCCAGATTGCACTGACCGGACTGGAGACAATGTGAGGGGTTATCAAGATGTATTTCTTCAAACCAACACACACTCGAAATTCTTKTGGCCTGAATCTTCGAAATCTGACAATGTCCACGACAGGACGAAGAAGGCGAGACCACGTACGAAGCGTCACGGCCAAACTCTTCTGGACGAAGACTTTTCCTCGTTTTGTCATCTCCAATCTGACTATTCTCCSCCTCGAAAAAATTCAAGTTGTGACGTGGAGATAGATTGCAGTGTCAACGACATTCAGAATATAGACAACATCATGACTAGTCTACCATCGAATCAAGAGGAACGTGACAGGATTCAATGGAGAGCTGTTCCAAGTCTCCAAGAGATTTGGAGAGAAGAGCGAGCACGCATGAAGAAGTTGCTCTCGCCTGAACTTACACAGGAAATTGTTGGCGATGCAATCTTAAAGAAGGCGTTCGCAGATGGGAATAGCAAGAGTCCGGAACCTACGGCATTTACCTTGGATGTAAAGAAGAGTGCGTCAAGGTCCGGAACGAAATTAGCTGTCAAGGGTATGTGGTCACTRGTCAACGTTTCGGTGGGTTTACAGGAGAACTTTATTAGATCGCTTGTCGACATTCTGGAGCGACACAAGGAGAGCATCGAGAGAGCAGACCAAGGATTAAAAGAAGGGCGTACAGAAAGAATTGCTGCGCATACCTCAGAACAAAAATTGGTGCYGAACTCACCGATGTTGAAAGACAAAACAACGGAATTTCTGCTTCAATTGGCGACGCCAAGCTGTAATCGAGAACAGCTTCCCAATGCAGGCAGACGTTCAACGCCTCCAACTATGAAGGAAGCCATCAGTGCACTAAAGGCACTTGGTGCAAGTAATCACGACAATTATTACAAGTCTCCTGTGTCGCACCAACCTCTGGATTCTGATACTATGACGACACTCCGCTCGGTGCCTACACCCAATACATCAAGATCAAAAGACAYCTCGCTAACCCAGCGAAGCTCCGTTCATAAACGTTCTTATTATGAGTCCCCCTTGCAAACAAGAGCAGGCAAAGAMGATACTTATCAGTGCGAAGTAACGAAGACACTAAATGATCCCGATTTATTGGTGAMACGCAAGTCAGGGGACGTGTATTCCCAATCCACCAAAGRTGTTCGTTTGTTTGTCGAACCTTCGCAACCAGGCCGCTCAATGTTTGAAGTAGACGACGAAGTAAATTATACTCAAGACGAAACACAAGCRTTTTCGGAGCCATTGTCGTACCCATGTACTCAAGATATGCACGTCGAAACTCTACCAACGTCTCTAAATCCAGTAGAATATAGTCAACGTATGGAGCGTGGTGATTCTATTCTTCACACTCAAGATCAGGACGTAGAAGAACTCATTAATCCAGAGACTCTTGCTCCCTACAATCATATTGTTTTTGGAGAAGATTGCTGCCGAGCTATTTTTGACGTTGAAACCGATTCGCCGAATATGCACCGTATCTGCGGTTTCCGTGGAGCATTGTGTCCTCGTGAGGGACACGAATTTGCTGAGAAACGCGCAAAACCTGGAATGTACACCACGATTACAACAGGCACAGTAGTAGAYGGCGTACTTGACAACGTGAAATATGGAAGCGTTGGTGCTGGTGGAATCGTTGATGATGGTCAGGAAGAAGATTATAATGTGCTTGAGGAGTTTTGTCGTCGGAGCCAAAAGTCTGTTGATAGCCAACACGAGATAAAAAGACAATTTACACAGGTTCCAATCGCCAGTCGTCTTGCAAGTACACTATTGACGCAAGCCATCGAGGAGGAGTCTGGAACAGGCGAATCGATCTTTTCGGATGGTGTTTTGAACATGCAAAATAAAGGTTTGAAAAATGATGGAAGTCCTAGAAGAAGCCAAAAGAGGTCCTTATCAAAGTTGCTTTCGCAAGAAGAGGAAGCGGAAAGTGATAACAGTTGTTTCCTAGAAGATGATAATGATAGAGTGCCTTCTTGGCTSGTGCGTGCATCGAATCCAGATGAATCAAACAAAGATGATCAATCTTCTGGAAACAAAACAAGAAAAATCAATAGGGGGAAARTATATTTTGAGCCGAAGTTACTGGCACCAGACTGTAAAGATGTCAAAGTGTGGTGGACGTCGCAGAAGAAAACAAAGTTCGTCATGGATAACAAAAACGAAGTCAGCCGGAAGAAGAGAACTTACAGGGTGCAGGAAATTCGAGACTACATGGTGGGTAGAGATCAATCGGATACATGCAAGATTTTACGGAAACAACAGCCATTTGAAATGACACCGACACAAGGTGCACATCCTTCTGATAGGGAGTTGAAAAGAAATGAAAATGATACGYCAGGCGCAAGTTCTAAAGAAAGCAAGTCTTCACAACGGGCGAGGGCGCAAAACGAGATTCAATCTGAATCACAGGAATCGGAGAATGCTCTAGAAGGAATATGTAACCAAGGGGGTAGACTATTTATCCAAGGAGGTGGCGGGCTCAAAGCGAGAACGAGAGATTCGAATCTTGCTGGTTTTGATCAGCCATCCGTAACGAACGCAACTCAAGGAAGTAAAGAGAACACTTCATTCCTTGCTTCTCCAATTACCATGCTAGCAGTCGAAGTGCATGTGCAGTGCAGGGTAGGAGCTTCGAGGCTTGACTCAAAGAAAATTTCCATGGCACAAGATTCGAGCAAGGATAGAATAACCGCCATTATTTACGTTTATGCAAGAGACAAAGGCGGAGGCGAGAGCTTAGAAATTCTTTCAAGAGGCTGTCTTTGTTTGGCATTGGAGGGTGAAAATCCAGGAAGAGATCCGAATATCAACAAAAATATTCGATTGCAACTATTGCGTGCAATGCCTCGAACTAGCATGGGTGTGCGATCACCATTGTCCATAGATGTTGTAAAAGATGAGAGGCACTTGCTTCGCAGATTCAAAGATATTGTGAGAACAAAGGATCCCGATTTGATGATGAGCTGGGACACTCAAGGTGCTGGTCTCGGTTACATCATTGAAAGGGGTCACGCACTTGGTAAAATACCTTCTTCCGGTATTGCAGTTGGCGAATCAAACAAAGGTGAGGCCACTRGTCTTGATATGGCAAAACTTCTTGGTAGAACACCTATGGATAAGAAAGCGGCAAATTTTGTAACTACAGTTTCGCAAGGAAGAGCGAAGGGTGTGAATCTGGATCAAATCAATGAGACGAATGAAAATGCAGAGCAATCATGGCARGGCTCAGGGCTTGGTAGTGACTGGGATGATCGCGTTGGTGCAGGAGTTGCTGCCGCGTCAATCRTTGGTCGCCTAGTATTTGCTGGGTGGAAAATTATAGCTGAAGAAGTGAAACATCCTAACGCCTCGTATCTGCCTGCAGTAGTATTTGCTGTCTTGAACAAACGAATACCGCACCACGATGACCTCCTTTTGACCAAGTGGTACGCAAACAGTGCTGACCGCTGGAGAACATTGAATTATAGGTTAACACAGGCAACAGCATCCCTTTTATTATTTGATGCACTTGATATCGTTGGAMGAGCAGGAGAAGCAGCCAGATTGAGTGGTGTCGAATTTTCTCAAAGTTTTCCCGGCATTAGAGGGTCCCAGTATAAGGTAGAGGGGGTATTGCTGAGGGCGCTTAAAAGCCTCCGTTCTGACGAACGAGGATCAAAGAAAGGTAGAAAACTCGAATCTGATTTCTYAACCCAGCAAACGAACTATTCCAGTATAAGCGGAAGAACAAAGTCTCAATCACAATCTCCATGGAAAGTCAGRAGATCCAATGCAGAAAGTGATAAACTTCACTCCCTAGAAGACCGGCAGTATTTCTTCTTTTCTCCCTCACAGGATGACGTTAAAGAGCAAGAAGCTCTAGAAGTCCAAGCATTGACTCTGGAGCCTCAATCGGGGCATTTCACCGACCCAGTAGTTGTGTGCGACTTCACTGCACTATATCCATCGTTGATCATTGCATATAATTTGTGTTACTCAACCTGTGCTGGGAAGCTCGACTATCATAGTACCAGGAGGGAAATGCAAATGGAAGGGAGAACAAGAGAGAAAGTTGGTCCATTTGCGTATTGTGAACGTAGGACTGCTACTGTTTTGAATCATCATCTCAAATCGTTATCCAATGTTTCGCAACATGATAGAAGTTCAAGAGAACCTGATTTTTCACGGGACCGAGCTTACGTAGCACCAACTGGGACAGTYTACGTATCAGAGAGCGTTTTGAAAGGAGTGCTTCCACAAGTGCTAGATGAGATGCTCACGACGCGTGCAATGCTGAAAAAAGCAGCAAAAGAATATAAGAAGAATGTCAAAGATTTGTCACCTGCAATTTTACGACAACTGGAAGCGCGTCAATTAGCTCTGAAATACGTTGCAAATGTTACGTACGGCTATACTTCTGCAACATTCAGCGGAAGATGTGCCATGCCACTTCTTGCTGACACAATTGTTGAATGTGGTCGCAGGACTCTTCAGAGGGCAATGCATATTGCCAATCAATGGGGCCAAGGATTAGATCCATGGGGAAAGGAAGACAACAATTGGTTAGGAGCTGAAGTAATTTACGGCGACACTGACTCATTATTTATAAGAATGCCCGGACGATCATACAAAGAAGCATTTGACTTCGGTGCGAAATTCTGCAAGGCAGTTACGAGTCTCAATCCTCCTCCAATTCAATTGAAGCTCGAGAAAGTGTATTTGGGTTCGATAATGCAAACCATGAAGCGTTATTGTGGTATGAAGTATGACTCGAAAGATCAAAAGAAGCCTACCTTCGAGGCAAAGGGTTTGGAAACCATTAGACGCGACCAATGCGCCCTTACGCAGAAGGTTTTGAAGGATGCTTTGATTACTCTATTCAAGGCTGGAATCGAGGCCGTGAAGGAGTATATGTGTCGTCAGTGGTCCCTCATATTTGCAGGCGATCTCCCTGTCTCTGATTTCATTCTTACTGGTAGGGTTCGGACTAAGTACCGAGGAGGAAAAGAAGGTCCGGTGCAAGCCGTTCTTGCTCGAAGACTGGCAGAAGCTGACCCTGGTCGTGTTGTCCGGCACAAGGAGCGAATTCCGTATGTCATTGTTGCCACACCAGGTGTCACATTTCGATTGAAGGATTGTGTTTTGACCCCATTGGAACTTCTTGAACGCTGGGRTGCTTATAAAATTCATTCTGGGTACTACATCGAGAAGCATGTTAACGCTGCGTTACAAAGATGTCTTGGGTTGCCACCACATTTTGTAAAGGTTGCTGACTGGTTTGCAACATGCCCAAAACCTCGTCGGCGCACACACTTCTGGCCAATCAAATCAAAAAGGGCAATGATTACAGCATATTTTGGCAACGACGTTTGTTCTTTATGTCAACGAAAATGTCAAGCCGATGGAAGCAGCYTRGTRGTTGTTTGTAAASCCTGTAAAAGGGATCGAATCAATTCCGTTCAATTGGCTTCTGCTGCGATGAATGAAATCGAAAGTGAAGCAAATATTATAGCGAAGAAATGTTCAAAATGCAATGGCTGTTTCGAAAGTGCAGAAACATTCGCAGTGACAACAGAACAAGAACAAAKTCMTTCTCCTCTTAATGGTGTCGGTGTATTTCAACGGCAGAAAAACAACCAAACATTGCTGATGCCGTTAGCAAATTGTGTATGTATAGACTGCCCGATATTGTACCAACGCCACCGACTAAAAGAGAAAAGCATCGAGGTAAAGGGTACCTATGATGCATTGACTGCTGATAAGTGATTTCCTTGTCAAAGAATCTAACCTTCATTTCTGAATAATGGATACGCATTTTAGAGTTTGCCGGCGAATAAAAGCAAGTTACTCCAAATAGTAGATTATGAAATACGATGTGTTTTTTTTACGTCATGAAGCATGCGCATTGAGTAATATGAGTTGWCCTACAAAATTATATACAAAATGTAATCGCGAACTAACTATCGTGTTCAAATCTGATCATACTGCTGATATTTTATATTGTACAGTAAAATTGTATGCGGGCAAGCCCAACCAATCTGTGGTCTGTCGTCAAATATAGGGTTTCCATAAGAATGTGACAACAATGGGCGTGGTGATGGCSCATCGTGAAATTTCGCTCCAGAAAAATATCGAATGTTCGAAACGCGAGGTTTCGTTGATAAAAGTAATGCTTGCGGTGTTGTTCAGCCATAAGGAGTGCTTGTGATGAACTCATTCTCGAATGCGCCGTAGCGG